AATTTCACCAGAGAATTATAACAAAATTGATGCTGCATGTGCTTTTCAGTATTGTTTAGGTACGTTTTAACTATTAAAATCGTTAAACTTAATTAGAATATTCTCGTTTAAAATGTAAATATATACAAGATTTATTTGTTTCAAACTTTTAGAATTGCATGCGGAAAAAGTTGTAATTCTGAAACAGGCTGAACCTTTTGATACAATTTGGATAGAGAAATGTGTATATATTTCAGAAAGTGGTGAAGATACTGCTACCACATAAATACATATAATCAATATCATTATTTAATTACAATTAATCGCTGTAAAAGTGTAACACCTATTAAAATATTCATTATATAAATTTATTTTTATAAAACAAATATATAATAGATTGTATATAATATTGTGTATTTGACATGTGATATACATATAATACAAGCATTCTTTACTACAAATTATCTTTAGTATATAAGTTATGTGACTTATTTCACCATGGTGTTTACAACATAAATATTATTGCAGTAATAAAGCATTTCTTTAATAAATTGTCTTTATATAAAATTATGTTCTCATTTAGCTTGTAGTTATTAGTGTTTGTTATGTTATGTTTACAGCATTTTGCAAAATTACTTATAATGGTATTTTAGTATTCTTTACTCTTAAAAGTAAGAAAAAAGTTTAAGATATATTAAAATACAATTTATTCATGTATATATTGTAAGCAAGCATCTACAGAAACGTATCAACACGTTCATTATTTATACACATGTTACAGTAAATGTACATTATTGTAATTAAGATCTTTTCGAATTCAGAATACGTAATTTTCATTCAATTTGGCGATATTTAAAGAAAAATGAATCACACGTGAAATCTGTTAGAAACGGGCTGAAGGAAACTTCAAAAATTTCTTTAATTATACTGCCGCCGTTTAATAAAATACTAATTTTATAATGCGAAATATATACATTTACTGAACAATGTACGTTTATAATGTCTATACAGACAGCTAACAATATTTAATTAATATATTCATACTGAACAACTTAAGTAAAACTTAGAGTAAACCTTATTCATCTCATTTTTTAAGTTGTTTTTAAGCAATTGCACTCGAAATGCATCAATAAAAATAAAAAAAATATATTTTTTTGGATGATGAAAAAAATCTTTTTATGCCTGTCTTTTTAATAAGTCAGTGCTAATTATAGCAGATAAGCATATATCCCTCCCATCATGTACCTGTACTATAGCTAGATTTATATCTATATTACTGTTCACGAAGTCTTGCTAACCGCTGTGTCAGTTCATCTTGCTCTTGACTGACAGTAGAAGAACCTATGCTATCTAATTGTCCAGATGGCAATTCCATATTCAATTCCAGACTGTAAAGGATTATACACAATAAAATGTTATTAATGATATTTTTTTAGCTCTACATAAGACTAATAAACTGGCTAATATGATATTTTAATATACAGTTGCAATATGCTATCATTGCCACAGTGTATTATGTAAAATAATTATAAGAGAAATACTCACCCAGCTTCATCTGCAACCTGTTGTAATAAACCATCAACATCATTTTGTGGAACATTGGTAGTTGTAGTTTGAGACATAGCATTTTCCATGTATGAACTTTGTACATCTAGATCTTCAAATTGGCTTTCAAATTTATCCATTAGACCTGAGATTATAATGTGTTAATTTCAATAAATTTATTTATAATTATATATTTAAGATTAAGTAGTTTGTTATTCCTTAGGTTTTTATTACAGTAGTCTATTATTCCATACATCATTATGATAAAAAGTGGTAATATAGATAATTGATATTCTTTATTACCTGAAATTTTTTCTAAATTCATTGATTTCATTGCTGCATCCATGGCTTTAACTACTCCAGCCATTGACTGAGTGACTTTACGTGTAGTTAAAGCAGTTTGTACCCTGCTGGCTACAGCATCAACTCTTGCACTCATACGTAAATAATTAAGTGCTTGATTACGTTGACGAATTGCATTTTCTGCATGAATACGTGCACCTTCCATATTGCCTTTTTGAATGGCCTTCTTTATTTTTGCTTTTTCTACTTTTTCTTCTTTTTCACATTTTTTGGAATTCCTCTCTAACTCTTTTACAGCAAACTTAAGATTGAACAAATTTTCTATATACTTCTTTAGGAAAATATTTACTTCTTTGCTTTTTAGAGCACACTGTGTATATAATTTTTTAGAAACAATATTTATATGTTAAATCTAATAATCATAAAAATGATATATTAGAACCAGACCTTTAAAAATTTGTTTTAACTTTACTTGAAATTGAATACTATCACTTTTATTACACTTATACACAATTTTAATAAGAAACTATCTGTCTAAGAAAAAATAGTAAATGACATTTGAAATTGCTTAGATTTTAAACAAGTAAAATAAAATATCTTAAAAAAGGATACTTTCCATCTGAGAGACGGACATGATTGACTGCTCGGCCCCCGTTGTGATAAAATTAAAAAAATTAAATAACTGAAACGATAAAGTTAACCTGCTTTTATCGGTAAAAGTTTGCCAAGCGATGATATGTCACTGTGAGATGCATTCGCTTGTCATTCAACTTTAAGTTTAATTGACATCAACAGATATTACTATACTATGGTTAATTATAATTTATTTAATAAACTCAAGGAAAGATTAGTCAGATTTATCATTAATCTTTTGGTTGATGACAGTGATGATACCCATATTTTCGTAGACAGAAAAGTAGAAAATATTTGTAAAACACATACTACTGTACCGATTGAGAAAATCTTTATACCTAGTCTATGGTAGCAACGGTCAACTAACCGCTGCTAACAGTAGAATACGCGCGTAAAATGAATAATTCAGTAATGAAACTGCATTCTTATATTTTTTAATATAGTATAGAGAAAATATTGTTCAATTTTTCTGATGAAAATAAAAAAAAATTAAATCCAATTTATAGAAACATGCAAAGATTCGATTTCTTTTTTTGTTTTCCACATCAATAATTGCAGATCCGTTAAATGTCCAGGTAATGCAGATCTTATACCTTATTTCTAATATTACGAAATATTAGATAAAAATGGTGTGTATTAACATTATATTGTTGGTTTTACTCAATTGACTAATTTCGATAATATTTAACACTTAATTGGTAAAATAAATTTCAGTATATTCTGTATATTTTCACTGCTATCTTCAAATACACATGTATTTGCACTAAATTTACAATAGTATGGTGTAAGACAATTAAGACAAATTCTATTATTTTATATATTTATACCCTTAAACTGTTAATTTATATTACCAATTAAGAGTAAATCGCGTGTAATAT